AGTCATATGTTGACTGTACCAACCCATGAAAGCAAGTTTTTCATGTCTCCCATAGAGGATAAAGATGGGGGGGGGAAATAAGAACAGAGAGGACAAAAAGAATGTTTCTTTCACAGCTTCTATAAAGCTGCACACCCTGTGAGCAGCACTCTGGGCTCTGCATCAATGAGAACACCCAGCATGGCACACTAACATGCCCCTAGGTTACCATACAGCTTCTCTCATTTGGGGCTGCAAGTGTTAAGCTGTCTCCATATCACAAGACCTCTGCTTTCCCACCTCAGCACTGAGGTTCTCCCCCCTCATAGGAATTGGCTCCAGATGCCCTTATTCTCATTTCCTTCCACACACTCCAAGAACATGCACCTTACAATCACTAATTCTTTCTCTGGTGCCTTTCAGATGTATTTCTACTTAATTTTAAATGGCACTTTCCTGCCTATATCCCATACGGTTTCTTTCTCTGTCTCTCCTCAATGCCACCTTTACTAACCAGAAAACTATGCTCACAAGGTCTACACTACTCTACAACACCATTAGCAACCTTTACTCTTCTGTGATCCCTGGCTTTGCCCCATTCCATTTCCCAATACCACTTCTGCTGCTTTTCTTTCCCCACTCCCCTTACTTGAATGCTTCCACTTCCAGATCTCCTTCCAAGATCATCTGACACTGGTTCCCCTTCCCACAACTCCCTCAGACAGATTTATTTCTGTTAATATTGCATGCTGGAGAATCTCACACAGAGAAATTTAAGCTGCTATTTATAAGCATAAAGGTCAGCTTAAAAAAACCCCAGGATTTTCCACCTTTATAAAACTTTATAAAACTGCTTCAGAAACAGCTCTGAGCTTCCCAACCAGACTCCTCTGTTATCCTAGCTTTCCTCAGCTAAGACGGACTATGCTCCTTGATGCCCAGAAAGTTTCTCAGATCTTCATTTCCAATCTTAGAATCATTACAGTTGGAAAAGATCTCTAAGATCATCTAGTCTGACCATTAAACAAACATCGGCCAAGTCCACCACTAAATCCCATCTGTAAGCATCACATCTGCATGTTTTTTGAACACTTCTAGGGATGATGACTCCATCACTTCCCTGGGCAGCCTGTTTCAATGCATGACCCATCTTTTTAATGAAGACATTTTTCCTAATATCCAATCTAAACCTCCTCTGGAGCAACCTGAGGCTGTTTCATTTTTTGCTATCACTTGGTACATGGGAGAAGGAACCAACTCCCACCTGTCAAAAACCTCGTTTCAGGTGGTTGTAAAAAGCAGTAAGGTCCTCCTGGGCCTCCTTTTCTCCAGACTAAACAACCCCAGTTCCCTCAGCCACTTCTCATGTGACAGATACAATTCACACTTTTTTCATTACTGCAGGCCTCAAAAAATCAGAACTCAGATGGAAATTTCCTATGGCTGTTCTATTAATGTCATGACACATTTAACAACAGCATTAATGTATCACCTCAAGAAGAAAACCCCTTAAAAGGGTATGATACTGAAGAAGGGTCTCCTTTTTACAGAAAAGCTAAAAAGTATTTTGTTTACAACTAAACACTGATCTGTTGATCATTATTTGCATTAAAAACTTCAGTGTCATACAAGCAGCAGTTACAAATTTGTACTGCTTTCCCATAACAGTCTCCCTGAAAGTGTGATTAAGAGGTTACAATCTACTCTTACCCCAAAGTTAAAGCAACCTTTTTTTTCTCTCTTTTCATATAAGAACATTTTCACACCTTCCCACAGTATTTAATTTTTGCTGCACTTCACACCAAAGCCCAGCCGACTCTGTAAAAAACCACGTACAGGAAATTACACTAAACTCAGAAACACCATATGGCTGCTGAACAAGAAAACAGCCATGATTACCAAACCAAATTCATGCCACTGATCACTTTAAAGAGAGACAGATGTAGGCTTGCTAATTACCTGAGGTGCTTATTATGTATTTTGAAGTTTGAAAGTAATTCTATCCCTCTATCAAAGCCAGTAAATCAATCATCTTTATTAAAGACTGAGAGAAAAAGTCAAGCTTACTGCCCAAATAAATCTATGGTCAACATATGAGAAACATTACTATGAAAGCCATTCAAAAAGCCTCCTCGTGGGAAAGGGTAACATTTCGAGAACTAAGTGTTTTCATATGTTGTTTTTACCTTTGTTCTTTCAAAGTTTTACTTTTCACCTCTTCTACGGCAAGATTTTTTTGGAGGCTACTAATCTGAATTCCATCTCTTTCTTCTCAAGGCCCCTTGGGACCTTCTTCTCAAGGCCCCAATTACTGTCCTTTGTTCCTGCTACAGTAATTCTCTGAGCAGTCAAAAACAGCTTCACATGGCATGCTCCAACAGAGCCAGGAATGTGTGATGGTAGTGTATTTGGAAAGAAGGAGTGAAAAAAAAAATTGAAGTGAAGAGAAAAAAAAAACCCATTCTCAGCAATGTTGAGACTCTGCTAAGAAAGCTTCATCCTCAAGTTGTGTCTCCCCCTGCCCTGGAGAAGGCAAATCCATTGAAGCAAAGTTTTGGCTCTACAGAGAGGAAAGCCCAGCCACTGACACTGTCTTCTCCCAGGTGCCTTGAAGTCAAACAGACATCGCTGTGGCCTTATTTATCATTTCATATAACCGGCAAACAACCTTAACTTTGCTACAGTGAGCTCAAAAGCAGGCAAAAAAAAATGGAAAAAGCCAATCAGTTTTATTCCCTACATATATACTGTGTCCCTCAAAAGGGGGAAAAGCCCTCCTGAGTGACTGCACAAGGGGCCTAAGGCACTCTTCCATACTTGACACCACTCCAGTGTCAAGTCCCCACTTCAACATCCATCTGCTTCTAACCAACATACATATTTAAGCTTCTAATCTCAAAATAACTGTCCTCCAACTAGGCTATGATATTACTACCGGATATCACTCCCTTCATTCTAAAGGAGAAAACAAATCTTCCTGTGGAATCTGATTTTTCTTTCTATTTAATGACCACCAAAATATCCTACTCTACAATAATGATAAAGTTCAACCACGATATTCAGAAACAGAACATGAGTGTCAAAGGCTGTTTTGTTTCCTTACTTTAACATTTAAAGACAATTACTTAAGAAAAAAAGCCCCCACCTGGATATTTGCCTCTTTGTGTTTCAATTTACACAAGCATTCAGCAATCAGCACAGCAGTCCCCCAATAGTAGTTTCCAGGAGCTACTAAAAAACTGAAGAAGCACAAGTAATTTATTTTATATTCAGAGTAAAACATAAATATATGTAAAATAAATACAATCTGTAAATGTTATATACATTCTAATACAGTGTGAAGGTTTGATTACAAGCTTAAATATCTGCCACAAGAGACTACAAATCATAGAATCTCCTGGGTTGGAAAAGAACCACAAGAATCATCCAGTCCAACACCTGCACGGGACAGCCCCAAGAATCACACCATGTGTCTGAGAGCATTGTCCAAACACTTGAACTCTGGCAACCTTAGTGCCATGCCAACGTCTGAAATATTTATATTTTTCTAATGCACTTTTCCCTGGCCCCACCTTGGCTGTTTGACACTAGATCTCTTCCACGCCCATCCCTGCAGGCTGCTTGCTTCAGGCTCTTATTCATTTATTCAGTTAAGAAATCCCTCATTCCTTCCAGTCTCAATTCATCCCATCTGCTTCCTGCCACCTATTTTTGCCTGTAGTTCCACCAGTCAACACTCTTGAAGCTGAGCACTTCTATAAACTCACTGACAACACAGATGCCTTGTCCTAAATGTTTGTTACTATTTTACATGTTTATCCATGCCAGATATTCTATAACAAGCTACTTGCAAGTCTGATCAGAGAGTTTTTGTTCATTTAAATCACACACATGCTACAGACACACTTTGAGTAACTACAACTCTTCATCTCTTTCCTGAAAAGCTGGTTCTCATTTACATCCATGCAACGTGAACCATCAACCATACTGCAAAAATCTATTTTTCCATCTCCTCCAGAGGCTGAGAAAAAGAGATAGAGTGTCATATTGCCTTACTCACAGAAAAGTTTTTCATTAAGCTTCTAGTATCCTCTCAATCTCTCCTAGGATGAGGATGTGAAGAACCAGCAGGCGAGCTGTCCCTGATGCAGGAACTAAGCCATTCCCAAGTGGGGTACAGCGAGAGCTCCTGCACTGGCTGCAGGTGCCAGCTCCACAAAAGACATAGGAACTGGTTGCTCGCACTGAATCCAGAAATTGAAGAGGTTTCCACACCTCTCTGGACAGACCTCTGCCCTAATAGTCTCTCCAACACCTTCAGCGTTTTCCACCGCCACTGGAAGCAATGAGCAACCTTATCATAACATCTGTTGTACGACCAGAAGTCGGGAATAACCGTATCCTTATTTCCCAAGACAAAGGGTGCCATATGAGCTCCCTTTCGAAACCACTGCCTGTATATCTGCTCTCAAGGAGTCTTTGCTCCTAACAAATAAAATAGGCAACTACAAGAACCTTGTGTCTGAACAAAGGGCAGGACAGGAGCACACGAAAGGCTGATCACACTTCAGCCCGTAGCGAACGAAAAAAGTTAGGTGCTTGAACACCTTTAAATAAAGGGGAAAAAAAGGCCCCAGGTCCCAGTAAAATAAATACAAAAGATTCAGAAGTGAAGGTGAAGAATTAATTCATTTTTACAAGATATTTTAAGGTAGGGCTCAGCCGACACAAGGGCACCGCCGCCCCCAACAGGGCTCTCTCCACGGCGGGGCCGCCGCTGTCCCGCGGGCGCGGCTCCCCGGGATGCTACCCCTGGACCGGGGCTTCCTCCCTCGCTACACGAGCACGGGGCGGCCGCGGCCGCCGCCACCACCGCGGCCGCCACGGCCACGGCCATCGCCATCGCCACCGCCACCAGCTCCTCCACCTCCCCCGGCGCCGCCGGCCCGACCTGGTACCTCGGCGGCGCGGAAAGACCGCCCGGCGCGGTCGGCCCGCCCGCCCTGGCGGGCTCCTCTCACCTCGCGACCTGGCGGCTGCCGGCAGCGCAACCCCGGAGGCGGCGGCTGCCCGTGTTCGCGGGCCGGACGGCGGCAGGAAGCGAAAGGCGGCCGCAGCGTCCCCACCGTGGCGCAGTTACCATGGGACGGACGCCCTCTCCCGCTCCCTCCGGAAGTCACAGCCGGCGAGGCGGGGAAGGCGGGGCGGCTGACACGGCATCTTGAGCGTGGCGCCCGGCCCGGCTCCTGCGGGCCGCCATCTTGAGCGTGGCGTGAAGACCCTCTCCGCCTCTAGCAGAGTGCCGGGCTCCTGCGGTAGTGGCTGCGATGAACTGAGCATGTCCAAATCTCCCCAAAGAGCCACAGCCTAATAGACACACTTTTAATAATGTATCGAAACCGTGGAAAGTCGTGTCTGGGGTTTAAAGGATTCCCCTTTACTCTTAGGCGATTACACCACAAGGGCCACAGTGACCCCCAAACAGTTTCGTCCCAGGCAGTGACATAGATCAAGGTCCATGTGAAGGACCACTCTTTGAAATAGACACGGGCAGAAGACTATTCTCCTTGTTAATGCTGCTCTTATTAGAAACGATCAGCTCGGGTGGGGAGAATCGACGGGTCCTCGCTCGGGCGGCCACTACTCCCAATAGCGACTCAGATAACGAGGAAAGCGCGGCGTTGTTCGCTAACTGCGGGTTCAAAGGTTGGTCTTGAGTCCTCACCAACTTACAGATAATACACCGTCTGTTGCTTCAACAGTCGCACTGCTCTGTCTAGCCGACATCAGCAGTTAGGGTGAGGGGTAAAAAGGGTCTTAGCGGATACTAGGTTCTGTTCCTCACGTCGAGACATCACTTTGATTCCTCAATTTTGTGTTTGCTCATTGTTTTTAGGGGGTTTTGGCTAGGTTTTGTGAGGGGTTTCTCCCGTTGCATGCTGGATCCGATGTCATTTGCATGCCGGCTCGATGCCCCTTCCTCTTCACCGTCTGGGTGCCATCTTCCCGGAAGCAGCAGGGCGACGCCCAGGTAAGGGCGTCGACCAGCAGCTGCCCCTGCCACCTGGACCGGTCTTTGCGGGCCCCCCCCAGCACGGCCGGGACCCGCGCCGAGGCGAGGGGGCGCCCCGCCGCTCCCGGGGCGGGTCCCCGCTCCCGGGACACCCCTGGGGCACCCCCGCGGAGCTTCCCCGGTGCGGCTGGGACCCGCGCTTGAGGGGGGGGCGCCCCGCAGCTCCCGGGGAGGGTCCTCACCCCTGGGACATCGCCCACGGGGCTCCCCCGGCACGGCTGGGACCCGCGCTGAGGGAGGGGCGCCTCGCCGCTCCCGCGGCACCCTCGGACTACTCCCGGCACGGGCGGGCCCGCGCCGAAAGGTGTGCGTGGAGGCCCGCCGCTCCCGGGCGGGCAGGCAGCGGCGGGCCGGCTCGGGGCACTACAGGTAATCAAAAGGAAACTGTTAACAGGAGATTGCAACATGAAATTATTAACAATAAATAGTTGGAACTCCAACTTGGCAGCAATTGGTTTAACTTGTGAACTTTGCAACTTTTAAAAATATGAACAACTTTTTACTCATAACACTCCTCATGTCTAAAAACATGTCAATATTGCACATAAAATTGCACAGAGGAAACAACATTATCTGTACGGATAAACCTGGTGCTGAATTCCTAGGAAAAGCTTGCTCCAGACAAGTTGTGCCAATTTGTGCAAAGGTTTCAATTTTTAATGACGTGGTTGCGTACTTTTCTGTCCCAAAGGGCGTCTTTCTTATTTAGTGCACAGAATGGGCTAAAACACAGATGCAGAGTTTCCTAACCTTTTAGTGCTTCCTTTTGCAGTTGGAATAAAAGTATGTCTTTGTAATTTTTAAAACCGTAGTAACACATGGGATAATCTGCAGTGATCCCTTGCACATGATGAGCTGTTTCACTTTCATCCTGTCCCGAGGGTAACTGGCTCTCCAAAAACCCTTCTGAAGCATGTGAAATACCCGGGTCAGGCTGCTAGTGATTTGAGAGCCGGAGTCTGCAGCCTGAGTCAGACTCCAATCCCCTCCTTCCCTGCTAATTCTCCCCCTGGGGTTCATTTGTAGTGTTTTTTATTGAGGGCTCGTTGTAATCTCCAGTTCTGATCCAGGCCTCCTCCTGAACACAACCATTGCTGTTTGTCCTCCACCAGCCCAAGGGTTTGCCTTTTGTCAGATGGGTCAGAATCAGAGTGTAAAATGTTGTGAAAATTGATGTTTTTAACACTGTCATGTTGGGACTAGAACTGCACTCAAGGAGCGCTGTGGTGACATGGAGAGAGCATACGAATTCTGGAGGAGATTTTTCTGTGAAGCAACATGACCAAGAGAGAAAGTTACATTTCTCCCATCTGCAAAGGACTTTGCTGTCAGCCCTGGTCACTTAATATCATGTTCTGCCACTTTGCCTCTAATTGTACAAATTTCTTCCGTAGACTCAAGAAACAGCTGAGTCATGCAATAAAGCTTCTGTAATTCCTGTGACTCTTTTTTCCTTCCTTCCCGCACCGCCCCCCCCCCCCCCCCCCCCAGAATAGATTACAGGATATTCATGTAGTGATCCTTCACTGAAGTGCACGAACATCAAGAAAATTTCCACACCCCAGCTCCTATCTTTTACTGCCATCTAGTGCCCACTCATGGAAGAGATGGTGTAATTAATCGAATTTCTCCTCATTAGATCGATTTGCTATAATTAATGCATTTTGGAAATTGATAGATCGCACCAGTAGAAGGTATATTAATATAATATTTCTCTATATAAATCTAGCGATATATAAATTAATATTTTTCTTTTATGGCACTAAATTCTGACATAGCTCTTTTACATTAATTAAATTAAAATCAATAGCACTCACAAATCAAACGTATGTATGTTTATCAGATAATTATTTTTGGCTATGCTGTTCTCTGTAATGAATTAGACTGCTTTGGAAAATAGTGGGCTCATTAAAAAAAAACACTGAAATAATTTATCACCTTCTTCATTTTCAGCTCTACTGGAAAAGGAGTGGCCCCCCAGATCTGAGCCAAATGACAATTTCGTTTACAAAGTAAATTTGCAAGGCTTGGAGTGACAGGTCTTTCTATCCATCTACAAAAAGAAACAAGGTGATTTTTGAGGAAGAGACAAAAGATGAAAGGTTATCCAGAGATCATCTGATTTCAGGTTTATGTCTTTTATCCCTTCATGCTTTTCTTTACAGTGATGCTAGTTATTATTCTCATCACCAGTGAAATAGTTCTTAACCTTAAAACACCCTTGTCTGTCTTTTACTGTAACACATATACTTGAGAGATGCACACGACAGTTATGTCACCTCCCCATAATACTGCAGAGAAATCACTTAATGGCCGGTACAGATAATTCCCCCTTGAAGATCTCAGATTCTAAATTAAGATGCTAATTGTGGGTAGCAAATACAACAAAAGGAATATGAATATGGAATTCTATATATAGAATTGTGTACAATTGTGCATATTCAGATCCTTGTTTATATGTAACAAATCTTACCTTTCCTACCTGGCCATGAAAGAACTGGGAAGTCACTATTCTCTGAATTGGTCCAGCTAAAGAGGAAACAAAACAAGGTGCTGCTTTCATTCTAGTAAAAATCTAATTTAATTAGAGCAATTTCAGATCACAATTCTGACAGCTGTGTTTATCACACTTTCTTCAAAGGATAGAAATTAGCATTGACTGACATTAGCATCAAAGCTTATTTATTCACCCACTTCCTAGCAGCCCTTCTGAGTTTGTCTGTTTGTTTAGCACTTTAATAACACCACAGTAAATAAGATTTCATTTCAGAGAGTGTGTGGTTTTTGTCAAAGCATTTAGTGCAGCTTGTCGGAATGCTACATTAGAGCCCCTCGTTGCACGTTTGAGCACTTTGATTATTGCACATCAAATATCCAGTTTGATGAACACTGGGTATTCTCCAGAAAAAGCATTTTAAATGGTTAGCAAGGACATAGCCTGGGATCCAGAATTTCTTTTTCTTTCTTTTTTGTCAATGACTAGAAAATATCTGCCTCTCAGCAGTAGCCAGAGACAATCTGTCAATCCTAAAACTCCAGAAGACTGCCCAAGTCTGCCAAAAGCTTTGATGGGGTGGATGTGACCCAGACAGAAATTGCTCACCACAGGCGTCCTCTATTGTTTTTGCTTACCTATGAAATCAAGATAAAGACAAACACAGCTCTGTGAGCAAAGGGGCACTGTGGGCATTTTCTGCCTTGCAGCGAAACATCAAAACTAATGAGGGAAATAGCTGTTCCTTCCCAAGGTTTATCATGTACAGTCAGGACAGTAGCCTCCCCTAGACAGTGCTTAGCAGCCTTAGCTGAAACAAAAAATCAGAGCTCTCACTGAAAGATGTCATTCAGAACATTAACAAGGAAGAGCATAGCTGTAAAAGTTCTCTCTCCAGTGGGCATATGATTCTAAAGAGAAGTGAAATTAAAAGAAAAAAACAAAACAAAACAAAAAAACCCACCAAAAACCACCAAAAAATTTAAAAGAAACCCCACAGAGAATAACTAGAATAACTAATGGGGATAAATTCCACTGCTTTGACCACAGAATTACTTTTGCAAATCCTGGGACCTAATGTGCAACAGAATTATCATAAGACAGTGGTTCTGTATAATGGAAATAATTTCAGTTTTGGTATTTCACCCAGCAATACAGCCAGGCCTGTGAAGTGTGCTATCTTAGCTGGAGCACTTACTGAGTCTGACCACTGGTTTATACAGTAGGAGCCAGAAAGTGACAAATTCAACTCTCCAATTCTGAAATTAGGAAAAAGCAGAAACGCCAAGGAAATGAGACACTCAGCAGCTGGTTGGCGAGAGAGATGAAAAATGAACAACTTTCAATCACTCACAGCACATGTTATGCAGAAAAAGACTGAGCTCTCAGTTTTGCTTTGGAGGTTGTGTCACTTCCAATCTTTCCTGTTAGACTCAAGCATGGCTTAAGGTGGCGATTTGCATGTGGATGAATGAAACTTCTCCTTTCAGTGATTGTATTTCTGTCTTGGTTTTCCCTAGCTGAGAGAGAAAACAGCTTTTGGGAAGATATATTGCCCTTCTAAATATCTCCATGCTGTAAACCATTACACTCAGACTGACATTTTCTTTTCAAAAAAATGGAGGGAAAAGGAAAAGGTAGGGGAGGCAACAGTATTAACACTGATTTGCATTTTCAACTGTCAGCCCAGCGGCTGGAAAATTTTGTTCATACTGTTTAGCTAGCCAGAAGCCACACAGGCCCATGCCAAATTTTGGGGATGCTTTTTCTCAACTACCATGAAAATGTCCGGCAAAAGCATAATTTGAATATCCCTTCAAAACATGTCCAGAAAACTTGTCTTGCATAGTACTTTACCCAATCCAGTGGTTCCCCTCACTTTCTTCAGGCATACCAGTAAACAAAAATGTGTAACCAAGAGTAGTTTAGGACAATATTAAGTATCTCATAGGAGATTACTGCAGCAGCATATCAACTAGAATAAAAGTATTCTTCTTTTATTAGTTTAGTTGATCTATAAAGTAAATCTACCTTCTTTATGAATACTGACCAACACTTTATTCTGCAACAAAAATATGGAACCTGGAGTGCAAGAATTAAGAAAATCACTATTTTTAATGTTCAACTACTTGCTTTGCTGAATATAGGTAAATTTTACATGTTCCAGTTAGCCAAAGTTCTTTATGTTTCCACTTGGTTACTTTGAGGAGTGAGAAAAAAAAATAAAATCTACATTTGCCCAGACCAAAAGAGGCAGGCTGGTTTAGGGACGTCAGGATATTGAATTCCTTTGTAACGGCCCAAGCAGGAAGTTTCCCATGTTCAGAAGTCATCAGCTAATGACAGCTCCAAGACCCATGCATCAGAAAACAAGAGCTTCAGTTAATGGGAATCAGATGACAAGCTCCAGCAATCCCTCTAGATTAAATAAAGCAATAGATGCCACTGAGGTCATGTTCTTCCTCACAAAACTCCTTTCTCTTCCATGAGTGTGGTTTTTTCTCTACTTCACATTAAATCTTGCTGTCTGGGCAAAGGGAGGGGATGTGTTGTGCCACAAGTGGGTAAGAATTCACTCTTAGCCTATTAAATTACTTTAATCAGACATATATTGGAACAACAGTAATCAGTGTTTAGTTGTTGGGACAGTTTTTGGGTCATATTCTGAAACTTCACTCATATTTGCAAAAGCACGTTGTGAGAAAAACATTGTATTCTTTAGTGATCTTCAACACTCTGTACCCCAAGATGTCTTTTGTCACTCAAAAAAGTCCATGTCATTTCTGTCAGAGCTTTCTCCACTATCTCCATGTTCCTGAAGATAAACCAGTAAAACATTTATTAAATAAAGGGCAACTAATGTTGCTGTCTTCTGTTAGGAGCACTTAAAAAATTATAATTGTCCCAGTGCTTCCACTGGGACAATTTTTTTTATATTAACCCTAACCCTAGCCCTAACCCTTTACCTTGCACTGAGACTCCATCACATAAGGCTGATTTATGGCTGTAGCTTACATGGTGAATAGTGACAAGACATTTGCAGTATCAGAAGCCACAAAACACTGTTAAAATAAATCTTGAAAAGTAATAGTGTGGAAAAACCATTAGCAAATCTGCTGTTACATTTTAGAAATGAACCAGTTTTGCTTTAGCAGCAAAGAGCTGCAAGAAGCTGTATTAGAGCAGGGAGGGTGAGCTGCAATCACCTCTGGCTCATGTTTCAAGAGCCCGAACTCCTGCGCTAGCCTTTTCCTCTCAAGTTACTCTGTCCACTAAGCAAGCCTGCTGTTAAATAGGCTTATGTATCAAAGGTTCAAATTTATGTCTTGTTAAACAGAAATAAGAACAGAATTTTATGGACAAGAATCAAGCTCAGGGGAAAGATCTCAAATTATGCTGCCACAGCTGAGGTCCTGTTCTAAAATTCAGTTGTATCACACCTAAAACTTGGAAAACTACACTGCCAGTTTTAGATATCACTTTTCCAAAGCAGACATTCACTTTAAAGCACAAACTGGCACAAGCTGACACTTCAGGCTTTCGGGGAAGTTGTGTTGTTGCACCTAAATTGCAAGAGTCCACGTGTGATTCTTCTCTAAAGTTAAACTGGCTAACTTGAACTTCAAATACAGATTCAGACAGTTTCAAGTTTCCACAACTTTTGGGACCCCTTCATTGATAGGTAATGAAAACTGAATTTAAATTTACAAAGTCCATAAGCTGTTATCTTCACATTAAAAAAAAAAAATCCTATCTTTTCTGTAGAATTTTATTGCTAGAAAAACTCTACCACACATTTCATGCATCCTTAGTTACAAAATTTCACTCAGCTGATCATCCATGAGGTGTTTCCTCAAGAAATCCTGGGACTTACCTTGGATCATCTGAATGTCCTGTACAGCACCATTGTTGCAACCATCAGTAACCAGTCTAGCAGCATAACAAAGCAGGGCAGGTTGTTTTCTTACTGGCAGGAATAAGTAAAGGATAATTGGAGTTACCTCACATTATCCCAACAGCAAACACCACTAATAGAACCAGGAGCGTTGCAACAGAACCACACACTTTAGGGACTTTCAGAGAACTGGTGACAAGAAAAAGGTTTAGAGATGAAAAAGGTTTTGGGAAGAGTTTTGTGTCATCTACATTCCCAAAGGTCCTTTATGGTTAGAAGAAGTCAATCCTGTACAGTGTCATGAACTTAGTCACCCATCAAAAAACTTTCACCTAACTCTTGGATCAGGCTGAATTTGGGATATTGCCTATTGCAAAGATGCACATAAAGGCTCAACTATTTTCTGTTTCATGTGGCTTTGTAGTATGTCCAAGGACCCTCAAATGCTCTTCTCTGCACAGCCAGTGTGGTTGTCCTCATTAACTTTCTCTCCACACCATGTCCAGTTTTTTGCCATGGCTGTTGCTGAGGAATGGCACCCCTGCCTCTTCCTGGGCACCATCCTACTGAGAAATCTTGTGGTTTTGTGTCCCTCTCCCCCAACACACACTTGGGCAGGTGCCTGCGACAGCAGAGTGTCCAGGAGCCCCAGGAAGGCCTTATTTGCAATGCAAGGTTAGAACACACCGAGTTTAACTTCACATTCCAGTGTTGTTCATGGAAAGTGGAAATGAGGGGAATAGACCAACATTTATTTATGGCAATCTTGTATCTCACAGGGTGATAGATTTTCATGGTTATATTGAGATTACTTTCTTATAGCCACATTGATTGCCACAGAATAATTTCTTATTTGTATTCCTGTAATCAGGCCAGGAAGAATCAAATGTTCCATTTAAACAATTTTTTTTTCCGGTCAGTGGTAAATTTTTCATGCTCTTCTAGGTCTGAGTTCTGGATTAACTGTAAATGAGTAAAATAAAATTGTGAGGGAAGAGAAAAGAAAAATATCTGCTTTCTTTATATCAACTCATTCACATTAATACCAGTTGTGGCTGAGACTTTTTTGCAACATGCAGGGGGAGCTTTTTCAGGCCAGGTCCCTCAGCAGTTCTGTGCATACTCAGCACTGGTTTCAAAACTTTTCATTGGCATTCAAGAGTCTGTTAAATTTATCTCATTTTATTAGTATTTATTTATTAACAATTTGCAAAATCAATTGTTCCTGCACTCTAACTATGCATTATTTACCTTATCCAAAAGAAAAGCTGGACTGATTAAATCCTAAGGAAGGTTTCCTCCTATAGCACCATTTAAAACTGCAGCCCCAGTGCAGGTTTCAATCTAATGCACTATTTTTCCTTGAAACCTGCCTGCACATACATCCCAACTCTGTGTGGCAGTGAGAAGCAGTCTGAAGGTTATTGCTGTAGCTATGGATTATCAATATCATGGCCACAAATGCAATTTCTGTTTGTTTTTTAAAGCACCCAAACCCCCTTTTACTTAGTTATTATTTCTGTTGTGGTTATCTCTAGATGATATTAAAAACAGGCAAAGTGCATCCATTGGGTAGAAAGAGCCAAGTCTGTGTAAATTGTAAATGAGAACTCCCCACAACTGAACGAGCATAGGGGCACACAATTATTTGTGTCTTGGAATTCCTGCGGTAGGTGGATGCCCTTGGTTACCTCCACAGGCTGTGCTGTCCATGTGCACTTGGTCAGGATGTTTTCTGAGATGATGGAGGGGAAGAGGTGAAACACAGTGACAGTCCTTGATGGCTCATTTCAGATATGTCACTCAGTAACTGTCATATTTACCTGAAACTCTCTCCAGAAAGTGTTTTCTTACCAAGATTTTTTTCTTTCAGCACGAGACAGAAGAGATTGTGGAAGCTGCAGGGAGATTTTTTAACTGCCTTGCCAGAAGAAAGGTTTTTCCATTAAGAGTTACAGCATGGAGATTTTTAAAGCTGTGTTGCCAGAAGCAAATGGTTTGAATTTAAATGTGTGGCATTGAGTTCAACATTTTCTCTTTTCTCTGTTCATTAATTTCCTCTTATATTCCTAAGGAGCTACCATGTATTACAGTACTTTTCACAGGAATTCAGGTAATGTGATTTTAAGCTTTATGTGGATTCTTTTTCTGGTCAATTCATTAACACTTAAAAGTTTCTGCAGTTTGAAGGAGCAAGAAAGTCCTTAGTCAGGCTGACTAAACCTGGTGATACATGGCTCAAATTTTAAAAACCTGGCAAGAATGACAACCTTTCTTGGTCCACCCTTGATTAGAATCATCCTATTCTGATTTTTCTGCAAGTGCTTTCTGCCACACTGTTTGCAAACTGTGAAGTTTGCAAACTTCATACCATACCTAACATACCACATATTGCTGTCTATCTGTGTGATAACCATGGTTTTCTGTTGTTTTCATCCACAAAGGCTGCATCTGGGCACGCAAAAGCTCCTTTGTGGGTACAGTAAAATGTAACCTTTGGAAAAAGCTGATGGGCTGATACTGTGCAATGTAGTCTGAATTGTATTGATAGAGTTTGTATCATTTGAACAAAAGAAAATAGCTAATTTTACAAATCATCAAGGGTTTTAAATCCTGGTGATAATCCCTTCAGACACCACCAGTAAGTATTAAAAGAAGGAGAAAAAATAGCTAAGTGCCAGCTTTGTTGCTTGGATAGTGACTGCATTCCAGTTAATCCATCCTTAAAGTAAGTTGATTGATCATATTAAAAAACGTTAAAAACATTTTTTAACGTTAACTTCCTAAGGAATTAAATTTTTGCAATTCAAACTGTCCCAAACCAGAGATACAGACTCCAACTGTGAACTATGGAAACAAGAAGAAAGCTTTAATTTTGAGCATAAAAACAAGTTAATCTGTGAAGTTGCACCAAACACAGTTCTGTACCATTCAGCTTGCTATATGATCTACCACCTTGCAAAGAAAACCTGTAAGCTCTTTTAATTGATCTCCTCAGACTGGCCAGACTCAGCTAATATATTCTTCACTTTAAATAATCTTACCATTGGCGGCAGGTTTTGATAGACTAGTTAGTGTATGCAACAGCCATACACTGAGTTTGGTTAGAACCAAGTCTTGGAGATACATCACCTGTGTCCTGTTTGCCAGTTTGCCAAACCAAACAAGACAAAAATGGCAAAGTTCCACGTTTTATCCCAGAAATTCACAACTCCATGACTGAGCTCTCCAGACGAACCTCAGTTGTGTCATTAAATGTGGCTAGAGGAAGGCTCACTTGGCAGTCTTTGGGAGTACCACAATTCCTGTATTTGTAACTGTCTCCATTTTTAATACTGATGTTTTCCTGTGTGGAGATTTCTTGTCATACTCGTGATTTTTTCTAAACATCCACAGCTAAAGCTCCTGTTTCCTGCCGCAGTCCTGATCTGCAGATGCTGCTTGTGTCCCATCATTCAGATGTTGTTTGCACAGGGCACTGCTATCATGTTTATTCCTGCTTGGCAGCTCAGCACCACACAGCCACTCACTCACTTCCTAGCCCTGGGGGAGAGAATCAGAAAAGTAAAAACACTGGTGGGTTGAGATAAAAGCAGTTTAACTAAATTAAAACAAAACAAAACCAAAACCAAAACCAACCAAACAAAAAACCCAAACCAAACCAAACCAAAAAAAACCACAAAGAAGACGGAGAAAAAAACCCTTGAAACCCAAGAAAAACAACAAACTGATGCCCAGCCAGTTTCTGAGCCAAAGGAGCTCCTGCCAACCTCCATCCCCATGGTTTGATTGCTGAGCATGGCATCACATGCTGTGGGAAATCCCTCTGGTCACTGGGGGTCAGTTGCTCCGCTGTGTCCCCTCACAGCCTCCTGTGCACCCCCAGCTCGCTGGGACATGCTGGCAGGGCAGTGTGCAGAGGAGAGAAGACTTTGGTTCACATTTCCAGCTGCCCAAGGCCTCATTGTCCACCTCATGGCCTTTTGCCCAAAGCCATGAGCAGGCAGCTGATGGACACAACTTTGGCCAGCAGTGGCTCTGTCTTGGAGCTGGCTGGATCAGGCTCTGGCCAAAATGAGGGTAGCTGCTGCTCACAGAAGCTGCCTTCCCACTTAAAATCCTTGCCATAAAAACCCAGCCCATGACCCCGGAGAAACCCCACAGAAATGCAGACAGTTTCTCCTTCCCAAAGGGCAGATGCCCTGGAGAGGCTGTCAGGCCCTGGGACAGAGCAGCTGCTGGGACATAGGGCAAGAGATCTTCTCTGTTTGTCAGTGCTCCTGCTCCATGGCCTTGGTGATGAGCTCAATGGAGAGGTAGCTGTTCTAGTCACAAGCATGCACAGACTCCTGGATGCCCCCCCGTCGTAATTACAGAGATGTTCCACATGAAATGATGTAGAAGATGTAACTCGTGACACCTCTTCCCATTTTAAAACTGCAGTGCTTTCTTGAGTGCACACTGTCTGTGCTGGGCAGCTGTGTGGAAAAACTGCAGGAAAACATGAGGTCTTCTGCCCCTTGGTGGTCATCACTCCAGCAGGGTCCTGTGGGAATTTTTTACCCATTCAAGAGGGCTCTGTTGGTGCTGTTATGCACATTTTGACAATGTTTGGGGAGAAAGTATTAACTAAGTGGTGCTGGCAGAAACTGGGAAAGCACAGCCAGCAGATGAGAGGGTCCAGGTGTCACAGAGGACAAGGGTCCTTGACCCTGAGATTTGAGAGCAACTCAACAAAGCAAGGGCAGCCTTACATTCCAGAGGCCATCAACATGGACATTGCAAACGAGTCCTTCTTTGGGAAAGCCAGACAGAAAGATTGGAGGCATGAAACAAAATTATGAAAGACCACCACATGGCTCTGAGAGACAGCTGGGACTCCTGGAGACAGCAGCAGATGCATGTCTGGTTCAGACAGGGAAGACTGAGCCTGCTGTGGTAGAGAGGCTTCATCCAGAATATCAGAGAAGTGATTCCCAAATAACCACCTTGACATAGTATAATAGAACATCCCACAACGTCACAGACCTTGGCAAGGACTGGGATTTTGGACAGCCATAAGAAATTCTCCCTAATTACTTTCTTTTTTTTCTAAACAAGAATTTGGAAAGCCCATCTCCTCTCTTCCTGCCTCAGGACTTCACATGCTTCATTGTAGCTACTACTTCCATAAATATCCAATTCATGGATCTCCCTTATTTAAGTCTTCCTATAAGCAAGGATTAAGTATAATAACAAAGTTACATTAAATTGCAGAAAGTAATAATCAAGACAGAGCCTCTTTCTTGCTACTCTGTGTAAAATTTTAAATAATGAAATAAACATGATATTTGAAAATTGTTTATTTTAAATGGCATTCTGAAACTTGTGGCTATATACAAATTTTCCAACTATGAAACTTAAGATTGCATGGTGACTGTCTTCACAAAGTAAGGCTGCTCGGTCAGTGATCTCAGAGCTGATTCCATTGAAGTGGGATTACTCGGAATACAGGATGGCTTCTGGAAGCTTGTAATCCATGAAGACATCAACACCAAAGGAGGGAGGCCTTCCATACATAAAAAGCGAATCAAGGATACCCTGGGTTGCCACGGGACCTTTGCAGAATTTGAGAGCATCACCAGCATGGAAAGGTCTGAGACAAGCCAAGGGTCACTGTGGAAAGGCCTCTACACTGCACTCACAACTTGGAGACAGGTACACACTCCAGAGGCTTTTCCATGCCAGTCTTACTCACTGTGCTTTATTCCTCCCTCAACTGGACCAGTGACAGGAAAAAAACACAGAAAAGGGAAAACCAGCTTATGCTACTATGGTAATTTAAGAGTGATCTTTAGAGACAGAATCTTTTTAGGGATAATTAACAGGCATGAACAGGATTTATGTTAATGCTGAAACATCAGTTTAGATACCAGACACAGGGGTGGGATGAAATGTTTCACCCCACAGCCAACAGATAGAAAGTCTTCACCTCCTGGAATTACCATGGAAGACAGATGAGCTACTGCCTCCTCTCATGCTCCCCAATACTAAAGGCAGAGATATGCTTCATGAGTTTGAAGCACAGACAGACAATTAAAAATACATTTTAGTAATATTTCCCATTAAAACCTTACCCATAGCACAGTACTAAAATGTGCAACAAAATGACAGGAGTATTTACAAGCATATTGTATTGTACCAAATTTGCAAGACAAGAAAATTTTAAAGTGCAAAGTTGTCTCTATTCTACTATTCTATTCCACACAGATGCAGGGATCCATTTTCCTGCTCGACGACTATCATTGTTACATTCACAGCATGGCTCCATGCTGAACATCTAAGTGACCAAACACCATCCCTAGGCTGACAGGCAAAATTCCTCTACCAAATCCAGTGAGAGGCAGACATTAGCATCCAAGGGCCAGGTTTAGTCCCTCAGCTGTATGTCACATGCTAGATGGAAAGTAACTACTGAAAACTCAGGAACATGAAACATGGAGGAAGTGTATTTAAATACATGGAGAAAGTATATTTAAATACATGGAGGAAGGTATTTAAGTGGAAATCCTACAAAAAGCTTGATGGTTTGGTTTACAGTATATTAAAGACAATCACTGCTTTCCTTAAAGCACGAAACAGAGGGCCCAGCACTCTGTGTTTTATTCAGCTGCAGTTCTGTCCTGCTTCAGATGGGGCACAAATTTTTAAAGATTATTTACACCAACAAGATTTGCAGGCTTAGCCATGAGAGCCTCTAAAACCAGAGAGAGGCCATAAAAACAGGCTCTTGCAGCAAGAGAATATTAAAAAGTCACCATTCAAAATACTTCACTCATAAAAATTACTAGAGGGAGCTATAATAGAAGGAACATGGCTGCTGGGTTTCCAGATTAACAGAAACTCCCAGTTCATTCATTCATATTCTTAAGCATATTGGACAGTTAATCTACATCTTATTTACAGTAATTCCTGCTACTACCCAATAAAACCAGAAGAGAAAGCTGCTCATTGCCCCACAGCTCTCTCTACTTTGCAAACTAAACAGTCTCCAGCTTCTTATTTTTTGGCAAAACCATCCAATGTTTGCCACAGGAATTCAGCTACAAATAAACAAAGTTTGTCTTGAAAAGCAACACATGTTAAGTGTATTAATTTGTTCCATTATTCTATTTTTAAACTACTACATCATATCTACTGAAACAGCTATGGCACAAGAGGTTACACAGCTAGGCTTAAGTAATGTCATCATCTGACACAATTCACTTGGTTATACCCCAAACTATTTACAGTGAACTTGATTCAGACAAACAGCTCGGTTTCAGAAAGCGTGCAAAGAATTCCAAGTCCATAAAATAATATTTCCTACCAAGATGTTTAGGAATGATTTAGTCATGATTTGTTAATTTGATTGTAAGATATTCCTCTAAAGGAACCCACCCATGGGTAAAAGCTGAATTGGAAATGAGTCCCAGGACCTACAAGTGCATTAGCAAATGAGGGTAAGACTGCGCTACAGTTTGTAGCAGATGGAAGGGAAAATGAGGGGAGGAGGGAAAGCAGAATCTAGTCTGCACAGAAGGAAAACTATTTCAGTTGAAATGTGTATATATTGACAAAGAATTCTGAAAAACAATGAGTAGCTAAAAAAATTGTGATTGTGTAACTGAGTTAACTGTATCTTGATCCTCAAAGGGGGCGGGCTGAACAAATGTTGATGACTACAACTGGAATACAGTTTTAGAATTAAAATCTATATAAGAAAACTAACTCCACACTCTACTCTGGCAAAACCTAAGCTGGTATTTTAACAATGCAAGAAGTCTAATGAGTCAGCTGATCAAGTTAGAAACAGATTTGAGTAACTCTTCATGAAACATACACCAGGTCCCCACGCAGCACCAGAAGAAATGGAGCCATTTCAGGTATGTATTCTTCTTGATACTCATTATCCTCTAGGCCCCTGCAGAACAGTAACTTCTTCCAAAGAAATTCAGCTCACTTTACACTTAGTTTTATGTACAGAACTGACAGAAAGAAAAATCCATCATGGGACACAAGGAGGTTTGCATTTGATCAACCCATAATAGCCAGCATTAAAAGACTCTTTGCCTTTTGCATCAACAAATTTTGTAATTTGGTCCAGTATCTCAGGAAGAGTCTTGAGTTCCTTATTAACCTCCTTGGCAGCTTTTGTTGCAGAGGCCTTCAAAGAGTTACACACTTGCTCTCTAAGCTAAGTGTCTCCAAGCCCCATTAAGCATTTTAGAAGCATTGAATCACAGCACAGTGTAAAGTGAACAAACAGTACAAAGTGAGCAATGTGTTCACAGTTTACATCCACAGTAAGTGCATTGGCCATCATGTTTGCTGGAAGGGTGAACACTGTCAGGCTGCTCAGTTTCTTTCTCAGGCCAAGAGAGGCACAGCAACTGGTACCCAGGGATTGCAAGGCTCTAACTTCAACACATGCATCATATACCTTTGCATTTGCAATGAATCAGAAAGATGTTTTTGTTGTCAAGGGCGTTTTGCAGTGCTCAGCACTAAAGAATGCTGTCACATTTTCCACAGCAGGCAGAAATGGAAGCAAGTTCTACAAAATCCTTTCTTTCTCAGCCTTGACTGGGCTTGGCTTCTCTTGAAGAAAACAAGTTTTCTTCAGAAAGAGCTGATTTTAGTGCAATACTGCAAAACCTGAGAAGCAGCACTGTTTATACAGGGCATAAAGGAAATCTAGAGCTTGGCTTCCCAGCTGTGCCATCAGCTCTTCAGCTCATCTTTCCTCCCTGTTCTCCTGATAGCTTCTTATAGATACCACCCAGATGGAAACTGAGCAACTTACTTCCAAATCCATTACCTTATCATGACAGTTTCAGGAATTCCAGTGCCAGGAGATTAGAACTGTCTGCAGCCTTCGAACTTAACAAAGATTTGAAGATTCAGAAACTCTGCACAAATGACACAGGGATGCTTTGCTTTTAAGCACTTCCATATTGCTTGCTGCATTACTTTCACATACACTTTGATACTAAAGGATTTGGATTAAAGGACAGACAAAGCTAAGGTACTTTACTACAAATTCTGATATAAAACCCCTAATCTATAGACGAAAGAACAGAGACTAATAGTTTCAGAACATAAATTGTGCTCCTGTTATGCAGAACTTGAGGTTTCCCAAGTTCTATGCAAGTCCTGTGAAATACCATACGACTGTTATAATCCAAACCCAGATTTTCTTCCCTCACTACAATTCGGTGAATTCAGACACAACAAAGGGCTAAGCCTGAATGACAAAACTTGAATAAATATAACTGTTCATGCAAACTTCTGTTTGCAGAATTGGACATGATACAGCATATAAGGTAATGGAAAAACCCTCAAGCATTACAATCATGATACTTCCTTTGCTATTTGTGGTTAAAACTAAACCCACAAAAAGAAACTCCCTAGAGGCACAATAGGAACATTTAAGCTCACTAATTCTATGATGTCCTACTGAAACCAAAAATAAGTCAGATATAAATAACCACCTAGAAATCCACCACAATCTTAAGGAAGATAGACACATATTAACAAAGGTAAATTCAATTAGCCTTGTAAATGAAAAGAGGAGAATCAAAAAAAGGAGATCAGAACAAAAGCCCCAGAGTCCTATGAATAGAGTTTCAAAGTGAATTCAAAGCACTTATGGCATTTAAGAAATCTGGCATCCACTGTCTTTTTGAGGTTTTATATTTGGTTCCTTCAGAGGTTTTACTTCTTCATCTGGTTTTGGTTTAGCCTGCAAACAAGAAGAAAAAAAAAACCCAACTAAATACCAGAAGTACAAACCACTGTGTCTGCACAGTATTTATGCACAGCTAACTTTACATGTTATAATCTAATAGTCTCCTCTCTTTTCAAGGCTGAAGACTTTGAGTAAGCCCCAAGCAAGAGGGAAATGACAATTGTTCTCTGTTTCAGCATATTTAAATGAATCCTTTTCTAAAATATAATCTTTCTCTAGCATGCTGCAACATTACAGGACTTGGTAAAAAATGAGCTGATTTTCCAGATGCTGGCAGTGTGGCAGAGGTTAATTGACTTGCCCCTGCCAGAACAGAAGGATGAATTTAGGTGGTAGCCTTATGTCTGCTTCCTACACTGAGCTTGAGAATGTTATGGAAGAGCCAAACTAACTCTGTATGATATGCAGAATAAAGCCAGAGGGAAAGAACAGCACATGGCATTATCTTACAGTGTCCTCCTTTGGCCTCTTGGTGAGATCAAATGCTGCAACTGTTTCAGGAGTCCAGTGTGCATTTAAAGCTGGAAACTCAAAAGGAACAGGCTCTACTAAGCCATAGTTTGCTTTCAATTCCAGCTGGGGAGCCTCTGCTG